CTAGTGTCTCTTCTGGTAATGAGAGGCATGCAGTGAGTCTGGGCTTCTACATGATGGATGGTGTTCACTGTGTTGGACCGACATGAAGCATTTGCCAGTCCCTACAATAGTCACGATGGCCATGTAGGTCTAATGGTTGATTGACTGGGTCTGAGTAACACACAGGACTAAGAGGAAGAAGGTTGGTCTCCACACAGGCATTTTCATTACCAAGAGTAGGGAGGATGACATTTTGGGGAGCACAAATGATTAATGCCAGGAAATTCTGTAACTGAGCACTCTGTCTATCTCCAAAATGGACTTACTTCCTCTTTTCATTTTTCCTTCATAAAACAAACATGCTTGAGCGTGGATAATGAGCTAGTGATTATTGCAGTGAGCAAGAGTAAGGAGGATATCTGCCCTCATGAAGATCAAGGAGAGGTGAACAGCCACTTGTACTCATAAAGCCCCCATGGGGATGAAATGAGTGTAAATGTGATGAATTTTATGATGAGTTTCATTTGCCAAAAATCATGGCAGATATAATCAATTATAACTCTTAAAAGTCTCACTTTTGGTTGAGGCATATTGCCTGCCAAGATAGGAAAAGGTATAACCCATTAATCTCTTGGTTCTTACTATGTACAATTTTTCAAGAGAATAGATTGCTGTTGCTGGAAATGACACCTAGAAGAGGCTAATGTTGAAGAAGAAAGGGGACAAGTTCTAGAGCAGGAGCCCCTCGGGTGGAGTGGGCTGGAGGCATTCACTGGGCAGAACAAGGTCCCTGACATTTGGCCTAATTTATCTAAAGAGATGCAAGAGGAAGGCAACATCAAATATAAACTTTTAAAGTCATAAAAAAGTTTTATGAATAAAGTCTAAATATTGATTTCCTTTCATTCATTTATAGTAAAACGCCTAACATGAAAGATTTGAATAGTTAGCAGATGACAGCCATCAACTTGCTCACAGGCAAATTTCATTAACTCCTTTACAGGTGTAGCCTCCGTTTTCCTTTCAGATAGGGACCCATTTACTTCACAATTAAATGTGCCTGTTCTCTGACACCAGATAAGTACTTTTCCTTGAAAAATCAACAGAAAAAATTCCAGGTGGTTCAGAAATTTGTAGTTAGAAATAGATTGGATTATATCATACATCAATGTTATAGATGGATTTTTGAACTCAGCTTCACAGAATTGTTCCAGAAAAAAAAAAGGATATTCAAGCTAGTAACTACTCCTATATAGCCCTTCATTTTATATTCATACTTTCTACTTATGCTTAAAGGAGGATTTCTATCTTATAATATCTATTTATCTATCATCTAATCTATCTATTACAAGCATTTTAAGCTTGCAACCCGTGGGCTACATGTGGCCCAACAATGAATATTTTAAAAATATCTTAATAAAATTTTTGTAACTTAATTTTTACAATATCCTGTCATACATAATTATTAATAATGAACTACAATGTTTGCTAATGACTGATTACCAAAATCGTGTTGCATACACTTCCCTTACATTCCTTATGTGCAGGTACACCTTTTCTCTCCAATAATACTAGCAGTGAGTATTTTAGCAGCCAATTGCCAAGTTATTAGTCTTGGACTGACTTGTTTGATGTAACAGGAAATATTTCACTTTAGAGAACAAGAAAAATTGGTTTATTTGCATTACATTTATTAATTTGTGTAGTTATTCAGTGTCTGGTAAGTTAATGTTCAAGAAAAAATATAAATAATAAAATGTTCTATTATTTTATGTTAATGATACTCATTTATTGCAGCTCTTTGTATTCAGTATATTACTATCGAAGTTAAAAAGCAGTAAACATAAACAAAAAATTGCTGATAAACATCTAATTACCCAAGAAAAGTGGAAATTGAAGTATTTTTGCTGTGAAGTAAAAAATAAAATAATCTGCTTGATATGTAATAATGCCACTAGTGTACCAAGGTTATACATTGAAAATTGAAGCTTTTGTGTGTTTTTTTTTTTGTTGCCCACACTTAAACCTTGTGTATTTGGTCCATGTTAGCCTTTGAGTTTGACATACATGGTCTATTATCTATCTATCTGGAATTGGATTCTGTTTTTCTGCAACAGATCTACTCTACTATAAAATATTGTAAAGGAAAACTCTACTATAAAATATTGTCCATTTGCTTCAAAATTGCACACAGAAGCTACAGCCTTGTCACTTCAAAAGATGACATCTCACCTTGGTAGCTCACCCTTCTCAGAGGTTGTGTTTTCATTTCTAAAGGGAAATAGTTCTTAGGAAGAGACACACAACATTAATGCTGATGGATTTTCAAGATGACAGCAAGACAAATAACAACCTCTGTTGAATAGCAGTGTCAAAGCATTTTTGAAATACTTGTTTTGTAGCTTTCCTTGTCAGTCCTGATCAACAGGTACTTTGAAAAACTGAAGCAAGTATTGAAAAAATTAAGAGCAAATATAAGGAATATATTTGCTTAGATTATGGTAATATTTTGAATCAAATGTAGGATTTTGTTTTGATTCTGTGTGCAGTTTTTTGAGGTTACACTTTATGTATACCACACTTTAGAGACATGGTCTTACAATGTACATGGCAATTCCATAAATAAGATTCAGGAGGATAGTATTTAAAAATAGGAATTTTAAAGCAAAAATTATTGACTGCATATTATGTCAGATTCTGTGCTAAGTGGTTGATACACACTGAGTGGCCAGATTATTATGATCTCTGAACTGGGCCTCTATATCAGTATAAATATTACATGTGCATGAATTCGTGCATAGGTGGGGTCCAGCCAGCCTGGCCAGGGGGACCGGTCATGGGCGGTTAACCGGCCTGCCTGCTGGTCAAACTCCTGGTCGAGGGGACAATTTGCATATTAGCTTTTGATTATATAGGATATACACTGAGTGGCCAGATTATTATGCATTCAGAGATTATAATAATCTGGCCACTCAATGTATAGTATCTTAGGCAAACTTAAGAACAATTCCATGAGGCCAGTCCTACTATTCAATAGATACAGAAATAGTCTTAGGGTTCAGTAGCTAATGTTGCACAGATGCTCAATACAACTCAATGAATCCAGAACTTAATAGCCGGGGTCTGTCCATTAGCCATTAAGTTGTTTGGGTGAGAAGTTTACAAATAATGTATCTATTACTTCTGGGAAAACAACCTAATTGTGTGTGTTTTTATAATAGAAAAAATAATCAACAGAACTAGATCTTTCAACATTGCCTACATTGTGTGAGAAAAAGTATACTTGTTTAAATTCAGGATTATGAAACATTTTTATATTTATAACATGGGATGTGTCAGGCTTAATCTATCTTCAGTGTTAGAGTCTTACTGCAAAAAACTTCAGCCCCCATACATTTCATTCCAAGCCAAGTATTCCTACAGTGGACTTAGTTCCTCCCTCCCCAACCACCATTTAAATGCTGTCTAAAGTCATAGAATGTCCTATTTTCACACACATTTCTTATTTCTAGGGTCTCCAGTTTGTTTTTAGGCTTTCTGTTACATCTTATTTTGTTTCTGAATAGCATGGACTGTATAATTGTTCGCAAGCCTGTCAGTTCATGTCCTCTAGAAAGCAGACACCAAGCTATATGGGTTAAAAGTATGAGAGATTTATTGAGGAGGGTGTCTGGGATAGGGAGAATGCAGAAATAGGTAGAACAAGCCTCAGGCCACGATGCAGGTTTGACAGCTATAAAAGGAGAGTAGGGTGGAAAATTGATTGGATAGGAAGATCCTCAAAGCAGACCAAGGTATAGTTATGGGAAAGTCTCAGCCAGCCTAATAGGGAAACTTAGACACAAAGATTGTCCATAGAGGAATCCCACTCTGGGCAGAAATAGCCAGGCCCCACAGCACAACATGCTCAGCTACTGGCTAGAAGCCTTCCAGAGAGAGTGCCTTGACTAAAATGCTGCACCAGATTTGAAGATTTCTGGTGTTGGTGGCTGTCAGCTAACTCCTATCCTTAGAGAAGTTTCTCTCCTGTTAGAGATCTGAGCCACCAACTGATGGCTGCCACAATTTACCTCAAGTTCAGCAGATGTGCCTCTCTCACAGGTTGAGGAACGGCTTCTTTGTGATTTCCAAGAGACTCTTCCTGAGGGGAACCATACCAGGGGACAGCTAGTATGATAGACTATAACTCTCATCACTACAATTTATATGGGGACTGTGGTTGAAAGTCACTCTCACCCTCTGCTAACACTTCTGCTGGGCTCACTTGGTGGTGAGGATCATTCCTCTTTCATGAGAGATTGGAACCCCTAGTAACCAAAACCTTCTCAGGCCAGGGTTGCTGCATATAATGTTTCAAAATCACAATTGGGCAAGGGAATATCAGGAGGGGCTCCACTCATATTTATTTCTGTCCCATCATGTGACAGCAGCCCTACCTCCCCCTGCTGACTGGGTCAATGATCTCTTCCAGGAATGAAATTAACTGACCACCAATGACTCATCTTGTTGCCTGCTGGCCACTGTACAAAGGAATTTCAAACTGCCCAGGAGACAGCGATATCTGTTTTTTCAATGGGACCCTTGCTGTGTCTCCTAGAAAGTGTGTGATCTTTGGGGACAAGGACCTCTAACCCCGAGAGCTCAGATTTATGGGGACAAGAAGTATAAAGTCCCCTGAGTCATTGGTTGGGAGTTAACTTCATTCCTCAGCTGCTATACTGGTGTTTGGTCTCCTATCTGTAAGAGGATCATGCAACCCCACATATTGTCATGTAAAACCTGCAGTGCTTTCTTGTTGGAGGAGAATATATCCCCACCCCATAGACATCAAGCTTAGAGGTAAGATTCCTTTTAGCCAATGGAATGTGATTGCAAGGTGATATGCTACAGTTGAGCAGAAGCTTTAGGAGACACTGTATAGTTGGGAGAGTCCTGTTCTCTCTCTGCCCCGGAAACGTATCCCATATGGCATATCCTGGCCCAGTGTCTCTCCACGGTCTGAGGTCTGCTTTCTTTTACAGCATAGGTGGAGAAGGAGGGCGAGGCCACGAAGGAAGTTACGCGGGCAAGCATTTCCGCATGGGATTCATGACCATGCCTGCTCCTCAGGACCGACTTCCCCATCCTTGCTCCAGTGGCTTCTCCGTGAGGTCACAGTCCCTGCACTCGGTGGGGGGCACAGATGAGGACCGCAGCTGTGGCTCCCGAAGACAACCACCCCCCAAGCCCAAGCGAGACCCGAGCACCAAGCTGAGCACCTCATCGGAGACAGTCAACAGCGCAGCAACCAGCAAGAGCGGGAAAGCCCTGGAGCGCTCAGAAGGTAACACACCCCACACCCACTTCACCTAGAAAAAGATTTCAGGCCAAAACCGGTTTGGCTCAGTGGATAGAGCGTTGGTCTGAGGATGAAAGGTCCGTGGTTCGATTCTGGTCAAGGGTACCTTGGTTGCGGGCACATTCTCAGTGGGGGTGTGCAGGAGGCAGCTGGTCAATGTTTCTCTCTCATCGATGTTTCTAACTCTCTATCCTTCTCCCTTCCTCTCTGTAAAAAAAATCAATAAAATATATTTTTTTTTAAAAAGAAGAAGAAAAAAAAAGATTTCAGGCAACAGGTCACTGATAAGCATCTCTCTTCCTCCCTGGTTCATTTCCCTAGGGGCCTAGGAAGGAAGAATCCCAGGGGGAGGGGAGGCTATTTGTTGAGATGATGTCAAAAGACAAATAGGAATATTTGATTTCCTGGAAAGGAAAGGCAATATGTGTTTTCTTACCCCCTTAAAGCTTTGCCTTATTAGGAAATTATTTTGCCTAGAAATAAATATACATGAAATGTGTATAGTGTCTTGTGTTTATAAGTATTATTTATATGACTAAAGAAGTACTATGTGATTGTTAGGATAAACTTATAATGCAGAAAAATATAAAGAAAAAAATATAGTCGTTTTTGAAAATAATTATTTTTTTGCATTTTGGTGTATTTCCTTCCAGTGAATGTGTGTGTGTGTGTGTATGTGTGTGTGTGTGTGTGTGTATTTTTTTTCAATGTCTATATTTTTCCTCATTATGAAGCACGTGGATCAAATATATCTCAGCCTCCTATCTGGTTTATGAATATAAATTAGGTCAGGCTACCCCCAGATCTGGTCAGCTCTTTAGTCATCACTTGAGTCAATAAGTCTTGGTTTTCCTGAGTTTTTGCCTGATAGGTCCTTGGTGGGAGAGTGGTCTCTAGTGTGCTTAGATGGAAGCCATTTAGATGGTTGTATATAAGTTGTGGAAAACACTTTAAGGTTCCCAGTGCTGCCAGTGACTAGCTTGACAGCATGGTTGTGCCAGGCTCTGTACCCTTTCTCCCGCCCTGTTTGTCCCTGACACTGTCCACAGCATCCCCCAGCACACCGGGTTTCACGGTGGTTTGCTACAGAGTGGAAGCCAAGAGGGCCCTTTCCTCAACTGCGCAGATTTCTTTGTCACCTAGGCTTCACAGTCCCTCGTGGAATCTTCCTCTTTTTCTGATGTAACCTTTCCACAGAAGCTCAAACCTAGTCCATGAGAAGGGGTGCCCATTAGGCATATGCTGCGTTTTCATTACTCTCATCTCCCCTTACTGGTGCCCCTTCCTGTTTAACTGAAAAACCAAAGCTTCAGTGCATACTGAAAAATACAAATAAATACCTAGAGATGAAGATAATCCTTTTGTTCTACTTGAAAAATCTCCTCTTATGCTCAGTGTTTTCTAAACCCATATATGCAAAAATATATCATGAATGTGTGTGTGTGAGAATATAGATAGAATAACATATATGTGTATGTGTATTGTGCTTAAAGTGCTTATATTTTCACTTACTCTCTTGTGACTATTTTGCATGGCATTCAGTTTGTTAAGAAATACTATCTTTAAGAAGAGAAGTGTCTATTGTAGTATTTTATTTAATCATCATCTCCTTGATGAATACTTACTTGGTTTCAGTTTGGTTTGCTATGATGAAAAGCACAGCAATGATTTTGTATGTCTGTGTCTATGTAACTATTTTTTTCTGCTGCCTTAGGGTATTTGAATTTTTTCCTCATGATTCAAGGTCATTAGTATGTCCTTTCACTTTTAACACACTGGTGCTTTTAGAAATAATTTAAGTCTTTGGTTTACTTGTTAATACTCTAAAGGGCCCTGGAACATATTAAATATTGTTCTCAGGTTTCATCTGATACTGATACATGGTCTCTTTCATTTCTCTTTGTTTTCTTTGATCTGGTTTCCAGAAGTTACTTCTTTCCTGCTTTTCTTGCCAGAAAACTATATCATCAATTACATTAGGTTGTTTGCCAGAAAACTTTACTGATTTAGAAGAGAGGTTTCTGAATGAAGAGGGCCTGATCATAATCTAGAATGATTTAAGAATAAAAGGGAATAAAAAGTCAGCCAAAGGTGAGGGAAGAGATGACACAGACAAGGAAAATAGTCAGTAAGGGGCTATTATCAAGCAGTATAACATTCCATAAACATTCCTGGAGGCAATGTCAAATACACACTTCAGAATAGACCCCCTCAGGGCAAGGTATTCATAATGAAAACAAGCTGAGAGTCATGATGATTTTCCCTTAGAAGAAACATTTGAGTCCTGATTCATTTGTCTTAAAAAATAGAACTGACTACCATTCATTTGGGATGCACTCCAATAAATAATTCCTGAGATAGAGAAGCTCCTAATTCTTTCAGATCCCTTCAGCATCTAAGGACCGAGGGTTCCAAATAACTAGTTATCAAACAGAACAGAGGCTCCATTACCTTTATTTCTTCAAAGGACAGGATGACAGCAGCAGCAGCAAAGACTTAAAGTTAGACTTGGAAACTACTGGGTGAGCAAGTGAGGTTTATTAAACACTAGGCCCAACTCAACAACTGTCTTCAAACAGAGCTCTAAACATGGGCTAAAGAGCCTTCAGCTGTAGTGTGTCTTTAAGGAAACTCAGTGGACCAGATCGACTGTTAGAATCTGGTGGAGAAAAGGTCTATTTCTTAGAAGAATGATTCTCAATGCAAATTTCACCTTCTCTTCAGAACACCTAATAAGAAGGAAATTGCAAAAGTGGATACGATCAATCTCTTCTTTCAAGTCATGACTTCTATAACAACAGAAATCAAGGCTCAGTTCAGAGATGGGAAAAAATCTTGAGTCCAAATGAATGCATTCATATGTGTATACTCAAAGCCAAATTATATAAATATGTAAATTGTTCTTTTATGAATTCTCAGTTCTTTGTAATCATGAGTTAACTGGAGGTCATTACAGAGCATATGTTTTCTTTAAAATTTTTCTGGCTATCAAAATTATAACAAAGATGAAAAGTGACTTTTACAAATCTTAGTCTGTCTTTTCATTTTACATTAAATGTCAGCAAAGTCAAAATATTGATTCAGTGGCATTAGAATGATTTCCATGGTTACCGGCTTCTATTTAAGTAAGGGATTATGACTTCCCTGTGGATAAAAGTTAAAAAGAAATGGACTTGTAGTAAAACAGCTTTTCAGAGAAAGAAAAAAATGGTGTAATGAACTCAAGCAAAATAAAAATCACATACCAAGAAAGGTATAATTTATTTTTTTTAAATGTAATCAAATAAACATTTACAACTCTATTTTGGGAACCTTTACAATAATATCTTTTGAAATCATATAAAATATAGTAGAGAAGATAAACTGGTCATGATTGCCCTTTCTCATTGCCTCCATGTGGTGCCTGCTTAGTTTTAGGGGTTCCTGTTGTGCCTAGACTTGTGATCTATAGAACTATATAAGCTGGTGAAGAAGAGGAATGTTGATGTTTAAGCTGCCATGTTGTGAGATCTTGTTAAGGAGTAGTGGGAAGTAATCCATCTTACCAAGTAGTGGAGTAAAATACATAAGCAAAAATAAATAAATAAATAAATAAATAAATAAATAAATAAATAAATAAATAAAGGTGAACAGAATGATGAACCCTCAAAAAATGCTGACCATTAGGCCTTCCCAGAATCTGCTTTGCACTTTCTGAATTTGTTTGGATCTTTTCCTGAAAAGGTCCTTCCTTTCTCATCAATGTTTTTTTGTTCTTTCAAAGGGCTCAGCATTGGCTTTTCGGGTGGCTATTTGAATGACTCATGCAGATAACTACAATGTGTCTGCTCTGGGTCCTTTTTCACATCCCAAGTGGCAGCTGTATTTCCTCGGATGTGCTCAAACAGTGTGCAAAGCCCCATTCAGCACGGCACTAACCAAACACAGAGTGGAAAACAAGCTCTGCCAGTCTTTATCGTTTGGGTATTTGGTAGAATTCTAGTGTGTGTTCTTGTTTGTTTTATGGGAAAGGTGGGCAATTATCTTCGAAGGCCCACATTCCTGGGTTTCTCTTTCCAGGTTGACAGAATCAGAAGCCGCCAGGCTTCCTAGAGTCAAAGCCATCTGTCAAACCAGGCACTGCTCAGATGGAGACAGGATTGCACATCTACACTATGTGATCTTTTTCTAAACGTACCCTGAGGCCCATGAATGAAACAGTTTGTAAGTCAAATCATGATGCAACACATCTCCCAGACCTTGCCGTGACTGTTGATTCTAGTCCAAAAATTGCCCTGCCTCATTACTGGCTTCTGCTAAGTGGCTGGATTTGACCTCACTTGTCTCAGTGTTTAAATTCATAAGAGGATTATTTCCCAAGTTGTTGGCTCAGATGGATATTTCCATGAGAAACCAATAAACCCAAATTTCCTGAGCATCTGTTGTGATCAACGCATTGCTTTGGAAGGTGTTCAATTGCTGTGCAACAAATTGACACATATGTAGTCCCTTAAAATAACACATTTTTATTATCTCACAGTTTCTGTGGGTGAAGAGTCTTCCAAGGGTTGCCCAAGGCTGTGGTCCAAATGCTGACTGGGTCAGGGTCAGGGTCTTTCCCATGCTCACCTACTTGTTGGCAGAATTCATGTCCCTGAGGTTGTGGATTACATGATAGCTTGCTTCTTCAAGGACAAAAGGTAAGAGACTCTCTCTCTCTTGGCTTTGCTCCCTCCAGGGAAGACATGGATCTTCTTTTAAAATAGCTTGTCCAGGATAACCTGCCTTTTGATGAGCTCAGAGTCAAAAGATTAAGAAACTTAATTATAACTGGAAAATCCCTTCACCTTTTTTTTCCCACAGACGGTAACTTAATCACAGAAGAAAAATACCATCATATTCACAGTTCTCCTTGCACTCAAGGAAAGAGATTTGTAAAAGTCCCAGAGGGTGGGACTCTAGTGCGCCAGCCTCAAAATCTGCCTACTCAGATACAAAGGAGATGT